TTTTAAAGCACTGGTTTACAATTACAGAATTTAAAATAAGCTTCTCAAAACCGTTTCTTTGGGGAAAATTCCCACCTAAAAACCACAACTACAAAAAAGAGAACATAATTTTAAAATGTAATATTTTGAACAGCTTCCCAGCATGGATGATGCAAATATCAAAATGCGGAGGGCCGATCACACCCCATGCACACGCCCCTCAAGAACCGTCTTGCAAGGATTTGCTCACAGCTTTGGAGAAACGCAGAATGCTGGGATGTTTCAGATAGAGGAACATGCAAACCCAGGCTGAAGGATGCAGGAAGTCATCACCATTTGTAAACTCCACCTGGAAAGCTTTGTCTCAGGTCACACACACACATACACACCTGCACAATTATACACACACACACAGAAGTCCAATTTTAGGAGCATTGCATTTGACTTGCAATTCATTTCTAAACTTTTGAGGAGCCTGGAATCAGCAGGAGATTGGACACCAGAAGTAATAAGTGAATTCATCATTTAAGAAAAGTTTCTTGAAGCAGGAAAAACATTTTCAAACTCCCTACCCCTTAGAGTCAAAAAGCTTCTGGTTGCTACTTGCTCTGTGCCTGCATGGGCTGCTGGTGACCAGCTGAAACAAAGTTGAGGAGCCCCAAGGAGGTGTCCCAGGTCAAGCTGGAAGAAAGTGGATGAAGAGGAAGAAGCATCCAGGCCATCATGGAGGCTCTTCTAAGAGCAGAGGGGGCCTGGGAGCACAGGGGCTCCTGCTGAGCTCTTCTGCAGACTCATACTGGGGACCACTCTGACTTCACCACTTGCCAGCCCTCAGATGGCCATGTGTTCCACCTGAAAACACCTCTCTGGCCCCATGCAATTCTCTGACCCTGCCGATCACAGTTAGTTGTTCCTGGCCAGGTAAGAATACTTGTGTTGGTTCTAGAAGGTGGCAGGTGTCCTTGAACCTCATGGGAAGTTCAGAGGATTTCATTGCTGGAGCAATGAAAATCCTTTCAATATTGTAATAAGAATTCTTGCTCTGAGATGACTGAAAATGCCCTTGATGCTGGGAAAATTACAAGTAGCACTTTGATGAGAAAGAGTCTAACATATCAAGTTAAAGAAAATTCTCATCACGCTAAAATTTTTGTGGCTCTGTGGAATTGAAAATTATCTAGTAAATAATCCTCATTTCACAATATTTCAATATCACCCTTCTTTCAACTCACCAGATATGTGAAAACTTTTCCTGTCTCTTATCTCAATACTAAGCCCCCACATTAAAATCCCTTTGCTTCATGCCAGAACATCCACCATGTTTATGTTTCTCTTTGTCTCTATCAAACCTTCCTTCAGTTCCAGATCATCTTTTCCCAACATCCCATTTAATGATTCTTCTCCTGAAAGTCTACTGTGGACAACCTATCTTCTTGGAAGACAACAAGATTCTCAATCAATGAGATGCTTAAGAATTATTCAGCAATTACATAAAAACGCACCATGTCTAGACTCTGTCCTTAAAGATTTTGTTTTGGGGAAGTGTCTAGAAATTCACGTTACCAAAGTAACATATACGGTGTTGGGTGGTAGTCACAGTCCATGTGTGGGGCTGGTTGCCGTAATAGCAGATGCCTACAGTAGCCTGATGACAGTACTTCAATTCTTCTTGTGTTTCACACTCCAGTTTATTTATACTAAGTTACAAAGCTGTAAGTGTGGGGTAACCAATAGTCCACATAGCATCTTTGGGAAAATTAGATTAAAACACTCTAATTTCAAAGTGCAGTCCCCATTCTGGGATGCAGGATCATACTGGCAGAACTCCATACAGACCTCAGTCTCCACCAGGCTCTTGGCCACCAAACAATCTGAACAACAATTGTGGTGGCCCTGGCTAGGTTTATGAGGTAGAGAGTAAAAATCCCCCTTAGCTGATCAATTTTGCAGTGTTTTGATCTGAATGGCTTAGTTTTTGAAATTTAGCCAAATGTTAGAAAACCTTGGCAACACAATTGAACTCATGGAAATAATATTCATCACTAAGGCCAAAAAAAATACGAAGAAAGAAGCATCAAGGATAATTTTTGAGAGCATCAAACTGGGAGAAGAAGTAAAGGCAAGAAAAAGAAAGTCTGACTTGCCAAGGTTGTTTAATCAATTCACAAATATTTTTGAGCACTGACTGGGTGTAAATTCTATCCTAGGCACTTGGGGAAAAACAAGTAAAAAATGTGGCACCTGCCGCCAATAGTGCATAATCGAATTAGGGAGCCAGGGTAATTAAGATAATGAAAACACCTTCATTTGGGTTTCCATAGCAGTGTGCACATGCCCATTTTAGCTCTGATCACTTAGCTGTGCTGTTGTTTACTTATCTGTCTTGCTTCCTTCCCACTCTGTGAATACCTCAGGAGCGGGCCAAGAACATTTCCATTTTAGAGTGCAACGGCCACTGCAATCCCGCGTTCATGGGGAAGTTTCAGGAGGGAATCAAAGAAGCCAATGCCGGGGCCACCTGCTTTAGACATTGCTTGAGAAGGAGGGGAGCAATAAAGACACCAGGAACGGCCACTGCAATCCTGGGCTCATGGGGCAAGTTCAGGAGGGAAGCAAAGAAGTGAATGCCAGGGCCACCTGCTTCAGACATTGCTTGAGAGGGAGGGGAGCAATAAGGACACCAGGACAGGAATGTGAACACCCACTCATAAGAGCACAGACAGGCCGGGTGCAGTGGCTCACGCCTGTAATCCCAGCACTTTGGGAGGCCGAGGTAGGCGGATCATGAGGTCAGGAGTTTGAGACAAGCCTGGCCAACATAGTGGCACCCCATCTCTACTAAAAATACAAAAAAAAAAAAAAAAAGTAGCTGAGTGTGGTGGCGGGCACCTGTAATCCCAGCTATTTGGGAGGCTGAGGCAGGAGAATCGCTTGAACCTGGGAGGCAGAGGTTGCAGTGAGCCGAGATCGCACACTTGCACTCCAGCTCTGGCAATAGTGCAAGACTGCGTCTCAAAAAAAAAAAAAAAAAAAAAAAACCGAAGCACAGAGAAACCAAGGGACACCAGATGACTCCCTTCCAGAAACAGTTATAAAGGCATGCAACCTGAAGTCAGAACAACAGAGCTCCACACTCCACCTGTGTGACCCGGGGACTGGCCCTCGCCTCTCTAAATGTCAGTGTCCTCATCTGCTAAATAGGGGACACACCTTCATCAGTGGATTAAAGACACCTTGATTGAAGAGGTGTCCGGGGACATGGCCGGTACTGGACGCCGGGCCATAGCACTAGTAGAAGCTGATTTGTCAGTTATCTACTCCACGAGAACACAAGCTCCACAAGGAAAGGAGCTTTTACCTGCTTGTTTCCTTTTGGGTTCCCTGTGCCTAGAACAGAGCCTGCCGTGGAGCGAGGACTTCACAAACAGGGATGAATAGAGGAGTTATTCGTTGTAGCCGTCGTTGCTGTCGTTTTTATTACTATCATGCCCTGCTGTTAAAACCCTGGCAGGCAGAGTCATATGTGATGGATGCAAGGACTGAAAAGTTGGAAATTAACTTGTCCTTGAAAATCACGTGAAAGCCTAAAGATGAAAAAAATCACTGTAACCTCAAGATTGGTGACTGTCATTTAAAAAAAGACGAGCCAATCCAACAGGGAATGTTTTCTCTACAGCCCCTTCTTTCCTCTGTTGCATCCCCCTATCTTTTCACATTTTTATTTTTATTTTTTATTTCTATTTATTTATTTATTTATTTTGAGACGGAGTCTCGCTCTGTCGCCCAGGCTGGAGTGAGTGGTGCGATCTCAGCTCACTGCAAGCTCCGCCTCCCGGGTTCACGTCATTCTCCTGCCTCAGCCTCCCAAGTAGCTGGGACTACAGGCGCCCACCACTGCGTCTGGCTAATTTTTTGTATTTTTAGTAGAGACGGGGTTTCACCATGTTAGCCAGGATGGTCTCCATCTCCTGACCTCGTGATCTTCCCACCTCGGCCTCCTAAAGTGTTGGGATAACAGGCGTGAGCCACCGCGCCCAGCCCCTTTTCATTTTTAACATCATGCACGTTCAAAATCAAAGGTCCCACAGTTTCATTGTAAACAATTATCATAGATCCTACCTTAGGACCCAAGCTGGAGCCATTTCGGTTTTCCTGTCATATCCTGTAAAATCACACCAATGAAAAAAGATTGACTGCATACCGAATGGGTCAACCTGATGGCCACCCGGATGCACACAGACTAGAAGACAGCAGTGCAAAGGGCCGGAGGGGATCCCGGGCTACCGCACTCTCGTTTCTTTCTTCCATGTCCTGGAGGATGTCGCCAGAGATGAGCAAGCTGCTTGCATTAAGATCCCTACCCTTCCCATGCCCAGCAGGATTGCTCATCAGTGCAGTTCACCAGGTCCAGATCAGAACCTGCACTGTCATCAGAAGATGGGCCACTCTTAAGAAATAGCCATGGCCTTTCTTTCCTGAGTGCACAAGCACAATCACGGCTGGCATGGTGTGGAATGAGGACCCCAGGAACGGACATGTTTACTCCTCACCATCTAACAGCTGTAGGCTGGATGTATGGTAGTTGGTTCATTGAAGAAGCAGTCAATTCAACCCAAACTCCCAAGTGGCTGATTTCCAGTGGTCCCTCTGAAATTTCGAGACATTCTTTCCCTTCCACCCTAGGATGATCTGTAAGATGTACATCAGCAGGGTATCTATGATAAGCCGTGACCTTGAATCCACCAAGTAAGACCTTGCTCCAGGTGGCTCAGGGGCACTGTTCTGAGACCAGCAGTTACCTGTGCATGAACACGGCTGTCTGCAAATGTTTAGTAAAGCTGGAGATGCCCCTAGTTAGACACAGTGTTAAACACAAACATAAGGCAATAAGCCTTACATTTCATTAATTGTGGTCATCTTAAAATATGTGTGTATTTAAATATGTTCCTCAATTTACTCATCAATTTTCAGCCCTGCTTTTTTACAGGTGTGTAAAGGCAACTTAGCTTTTGAGAAACATGAGACGTTTTGTTGTTATTTTCTTCTCTTTTAGAAAATGCCCCACAAAGGTGTGGAGCAAGTGTCAACAGAAAGATGGAATTCTTTTGTTTTTTAAACATATATATAGTTTTGTCACAGAATACTTCTCTTCTGGTTTTAAAAGTATTGAAGACTCATTATAACATTTAATTAACAGTGAGAAATTAGTCACACTGATAATGCTCAGTTAAAATCCAGGCCCTAGGAAGGCCCCAAAATGTATAGGTTGGGCTCTATTCAACATTCACATCCACCACTTTGCACTGTTGTGCAGCTCTCGATTAAACACGTTTGGGGATTATAATTTAGATGGAATGCAACCAACAACTCGTGAAACCTTGGAGAAACCAAATCTGAAATGTGTCTTCCTCTGCACAGCCACCACCAACCCACTTACACACCTAGAGCTGTCCATTGAGCTAAGGTTCAAATGAGTACACACCCGTTCTGTCCCAGGGTTCACACCAACAGCAGAAATAATTTAGAATACAGATTTGAAACGGTCAGTTTGGTGGCTTCTTCCTCACCTGCAGAGAGTTTCAGAATCCTCTCAAACACTGTTGAAAGCAGAGCAAAGGCTGCTTTCTGTATTGCTGCAATTTCCAGAAAACATTAACTTTATAAAGCACAGATTCCAGCTTTTGGTATCTTTTGACAATCTCAATAGGGGTAAAGATCAAGGATTTCCCTACCAGCAATTTGCAGATGCTGCTCAAAGCTCGTTCTTTCAGAAGAGATGAGGAAAACAGAATAATAAAATTCTTTCCAAAGGGAAACAATAGTTAACTGCATTGAAGCTGCAGCTAATTTGGGTTTGTGAGCATTCCTGCACTATTTTTCTGGGTATTCTTTCTGACAGTGTCTTCTCCCCTCCCCCATGTCATGCATACATGTCTGTGTATCCTTTTCTTTCTGTCTGTCTTTTAGGTTCTGTTTGTACTGCAGCTTCAAATATAGAGCCAAGTCTTGTTTATTTCCTGCTATGCAGTTATCCCAAGATTGTGAGCCTGTTTTGGAAAAAAAAAAAAAAAAGAATTTGATTTTGATTTGGAAAGCCTCCTGTTCTGTAGTATTTCAAATTTAGAATTCCATTTAGTTGCAAAATGAAAACAAAGAGATAAAGCGTAGCCCTGTGCATTTCAAGTTCAGATGAATCTCAGCCACATTCCATAGATTATTTTGATTTAGTTTTAACAAAATACCACATTAAATCACTCTAATGAGCTGTTTCTGTTCCCCTCTCCACACAAGGTCATTAGGGACCAGGCAGCATCTTTCTGCACTGTCTTCACTATTTCATGTCAGAGATGTCAAAAAAGACTTTGATGGTTTTCTATAGCAGAGAATAGGACGCAACTGTTCCTAAAGGAAAAGGGTATGCACCTTCACAGGGAAGCGATTTGTCATGCTTCTCCAGGACTGGTTCCCGACACTCATGGCTGAGAAGTGCAGGTACACGTCTCGTCCTGGGAGGAAAGTTCACCACCCCTTCCCTCCTGCTCACTCACAAATAAGCTCATCTCACACACTTCCTTCCAGCAGCCTCCTTCCACGTCTGTGTTTCCGAAGGATGAAAGGAAAAACCTGAAATTAGCATACACATTTAAAATACCTGTCATTAAATGAACTGTGCCTCTTTTTTTTAGGGTACCAGCTGTCTTTTTAATTAATGAGAGTTGCAGGTACATGATGCTCACAAAATATTGCACCACACACCCTGTACACCCATGGCAGGCCAGGCGCTCACTTCCATTGTGCGTTGGGATGCAGACAAGGTGAGGGCAGCCAGGTATCAGAAGGTGAGCAGCTTGGAGTTATGCGTGATACACTAATTATAGAGCAACAGCTCCTGTTCCGGTTTCCAATGAGGGGTCTGAACAGCCTCGTCAGTGCTTTCCGAGGTTGTTAGCGTGACTAATTATCTCCTGGTGCAGTTTCTGTGAAGGCTGGTATTCAGAGGAGCGGTAAGCAGGTGGACGCCCATTGAGGGCTGGGTAAACCAAAACAGGCTTCAAGGCAATGCACTGGTGGATACAGAGCCCGGATTAAAGTTCAGCAAAGCTTCCCAAAACAGGAGATGAAGTCAAAGTCTAAGGACCTGAGCCACGAATTAACAAGAGTGAAGCTGGCAATGATCTGCATTACTAAACAACTGTGTATTGCTGGTTGATTGCAACGCTTTGCTGGTTGATAGGCATTTGCAAAGTCATATCAGATAATTCTTAGATATATTTTTTATTTTGTGGCTAGTATCTCTTAACCAAATAGCATTTGTGTACATTAGGGTGCTAGTGAATAGGATATCTGTGAAAAAGAGATCTGTGATCAAATCTTAAAGCACTTGTACCAAAGTGAAAGATGAGATTATGCCAAATGAGATTATGTGGGGAGATTTACTAACATAACAAAAGTCTAGAGGAACTTCATGGAAACGGGTTTGCAGTCGAAGTTGTTTTAAAGTGATTTTCCACCTTTCTCTTGGGTCCCACCAGACAATCTGAAATGAAGAAAATCAAGCCCAACAGCCATTTTTTTTTTTAAGAAAAGAAATTAGAATCCCTTCTCTCTGCACAGACTTCACAGCGCTGTGCTTTGTTTGCCATCTGATCCTTGTGACAATGCTGGACCATGAGCAGCAAAAGGTGCCACTACCCTCTGATGAGAAAGATGTGGGGATGTTGGGGGCTGGAGGTGGCTGAGGCAGACCCAAGCCATGGACACAGGAGTAGCAGCCAGGTTAATCACAGGGAGCACATAAAGGAATAAAGAATGAGAAGGAGCTCGTGCAGCTGCAGGGGGTGGCGTGGCACCCTGGAGGCCATGCAGGAGTGCTCTTTAAGAACCTGGAAATCGGTTTTGTCTCTGAGAATTAAGCTACACAATCAACACAGCATGATCAGAGCTAAACAAAACAAAACTCCATCAATGAGATGGACCGCCTTCACATCCAGCATGAATTAAAAGCAGGCTAGTCAAACACATCTCAGGGCGAGGGGAAGGCCCTTTAGCATGATAAGATGCAGGCCTAAAATGGAAACGCCAGAAAGGACAGTTATGTGGGAAAACTGCTGCAAAGCCCACCTAAGTACCAACCCTGGGAGCAGGTTCTCTGCTCCCGAGCCCAGCGCCTGCCCTGCCTGACAGGTGTATCTTACCGTGTGGCTGGACGTTGGAATCATCAAACTCCATGCTCCTGTTCTGACTGCCTGTTCCCCAAGCATCCTTCTGATTGTTTGACTTCCCAAGTAGCTTGCCTACAGGGAGAGAATGTGTTGGTCAGGATGAAGCCAACATCTGGTCCACTTGACACTTATATTACTCACTGTAAATTAATGAACTGGCACTCTGGTTTCCCGTGTCAGTCTCCTCTGAGATGTGCAAACACGAGTCAGTGTTCTTGAGCCAGACCAACCCTGAGACCCTGAAAAATCCAAGCCTGCGGATGGAGGGCCTGCACCAAGCCAGGCTGGAAGACCACTCCGAAGTTTCTGCAGACCCCAGTTAAAGGAAATGCCATTCTCAAAGACGAGCACATAAATAATCATCCCTTCAATCAAAAATTGACCTGAAAATTTTAAGGCCGTGTATGTAATCCAGAGATGCCAAGCCAGCAGGGGACGAAGCCGGAGACCTGGCGGTAATAAATGGCTGATACCACAGATAAAAGCATGGGGCAGGCCTGGGTGACCACTGAGACCTCAGAGGCCTTCACCCACCCCCTGTCAAGGTGGGACAGGGACAGGAGCATCTCACTCATGAGAAATGATCTTGTAAGTGTAGGGGAATTAGAATCAATGGAAAGGGAACCTCTTAACAGAAATTTTTAAATAGCTGCAGGGCTTTTTCCCAATCGATCGTGATGACAATGTGACAATAACACACCAGTTGTCACAAAAGAACCGCACGGACATTAGACTGTTTCACACAAATGAAGTCATTCTGAAATAAGAAGAAAGAGTGTCAGAAATGAGAACGCAGAACTGCACTATCCTCTGTCGGGGTCCCTTGCAGGTCACTTGATGTGTTACCATCTGCAGTCCCAAGTGTGGGCATATACAGATACACGTGTGTGGACAGCCCCAAGTGTGGGCACATGTGGATACACTGTATGGACAGCCCCAAGTGTGGGCACATGTGGATACACTGTATGGACAGCCCCAAGTGTGGGCACATGTGGATACACTGTATGGACAGCCTCAAGTGTGGGCACATGTGGATACAAGTGTGTGTATAGCCCCAAGTGTGGGCATATGACAATATATGTGTATGGACAGCCTCAAGTGTGGGCACATGTGGATACAAGTGTGTGTATAGCCCCAAGTGTGGGCATATGACGATATACGTGTGTGTACAGCCCCAAGTGTGGGCACATGTGGATACAAGTGTGTGTACAGCTCCAAGTGTGGGCATATGACGATATATGTGTGTGTACAGCCCCAAGTGTGAGCACATGTGGATACACTGTATGGACAGCCCCAAGTGTGGGCACATGTGGATACACTGTATGGACAGCCCCAAGTGTGGGCACATGTGGATACACTGTATGGACAGCCTCAAGTGTGGGCACATGTGGATACAAGTGTGTGTATAGCCCCAAGTGTGGGCATATGACAATATATGTGTATGGACAGCCTCAAGTGTGGGCACATGTGGATACAAGTGTGTGTATAGCCCCAAGTGTGGGCATATGACGATATACGTGTGTGTACAGCCCCAAGTGTGGGCACATGTGGATACAAGTGTGTGTACAGCTCCAAGTGTGGGCATATGACGATATATGTGTGTGTACAGCCCCAAGTGTGAGCACATGTGGATACACTGTATGGACAGCCCCAAGTGTGGGCACATGTGGATACACTGTATGGACCGCCCCAAGCGTGGGCACATGTGGATACATGTGTAAGTACAGCCCCAAGTGTGAGCACATGTGGATACACTGTATGGACAGCTCCAAGTGTGGGCACATGTGGATACACTGTATGGACAGCCCCAAGTGTGGGCACATGCGGATACACATGTACCTACCATTCCAAGTCCTCTGGACAGTGCAAGGTAGAGGACAGCAGAGCCAACTGCTCTGGGTCATCAAGAGCTTTCCGAGTTAGCATGGATTTGCAGCAGAGCTGCTCTGCTCTGGCAGTGCCAGGTAAGCTCCCCAGGGACGCCGTTGGTGTGCACCGACATGTCAATGGTGGCCCAGAGCCCTGGACCCAGGCTGGTGAGAGCAGCGCCTTTCCTTGGCACATCTTCCTGAATTACAGCGTAAACCCCACAGGCACGGGAACAGAGGAAAGAAGGCGGCCTTCCGTTCTCATGGCTCTATTTCCCATTTTCACATCCATTACCTTCCGTGGATGGAGTCATTCCAATTCTGACAAATCTCAGAAAAATTGCAAATGTGCTTGTCTCCGACTGCCGAGCGGATTGTTCACTATGCTGTGAGTTCGCGGTGCTGTTCAGTTTACCTAGATCGGGTGCCATGGTCCGAATCGCATACATTTTCGACATTAGGAGTCACTGGTGAGTGATGATTGCCCTCCTACTTCGGAGGAGTGTGGTCTGTTTGGGTGCTGGCCGCATCCTTGTATTGTTCAGACAGTTGTCTGTTTGGAAGAGCTGAAGTAAATCACATTCAAGATAATAGCACGGTGGGGACAGTGCCTAGGGGAGGGGAAAAAAAAAAAGAATAAGACCTGAGTTATTCCATGCGCTATTTGCAGGAAAAAGGATACTTGAAAATTTCAAAGACATTTCCTAATTCTAAACAGCTCGTACAATTACCCTGCTCGCTGTAGAAGAGGAAGAGCGTCCAAATCTGTGCCTATATTGCTAAGAGGTGGGGAGGCATTAGGAAGAACTCCTGCACAGATTTTTGGCGAGTACCAGGCCCCTTTTTTTCCTGAAGACATTCCCTCTATTGCCTGCTGCTTGCTGCTTCATAACACTTGACAAATTCACAGTTCTTAAAAGCCCCCATAAATGTTTTGTAAATTGCTCCATTTTATCTGGGAGTTCTCTGAGCCTTGTCCCTGATACTCACCATGTTTTCATTCTCCATTCCTTGTTTATCTTTATTTTTATGCATTTTCCGACATAAAAAGGCTGTCGTTATTAGTATCAGCATTCTCGTTATTACCGTCACGACGTTAACCACAGAAAAGACTCACCATCTGCAAGTTAGAAATTCCCACAATCTTGAGATTCTCACCACTTCCCCAAAACTAAGAAAAAAAAATAAGTAAATAAAACCATCTAAAGAAAAACCTAAGACATCTTAAGCTGTTATGTGCTTCAGGAAAAATTCATGTGCATATCTTACCTCTTCCAAGTCAGCTTAAGCTGGCCAGGAGCCGGAGCATGGCTGGGTCGCAGATATTGAGAAATCCTTCACCAAATTCCATTTGGACAGGAGGAGTAATTTAAGGGCATGTGGGTGGGAGAGACTTGGAGGAAGGGAGACAAGAGACAGCGTAGAGCTCCCCATGGAGCACGGGGGAGGGGACGAGGAGGAAGGGTGGAGTGACTTAGTAAAATTGCACTGGAGACCTAAAATTATAGATCTGTTCGGAATATTAATCCCCACAGCTGCAAGAAGGAGGCCAGCCGATTGAAACTTGTTTGGAAGACTTTCCTGGACAAGTTCTATTAAAAATGAGATAGTGTACTGTAAATACAGGATCATGTGCTCCAGCATTTTGTCAGCTTTCCAGCACCTGATTCATTCCCAATAGGGCAATCTACCGGATATTATACCGGGACTGTTAGGAACAGCCAGTACATGTTTCCATCACTCAGAATGGCTACCTTTTTAAACACAAGCATGTAAATGAAATATTTTCCCCAGTCAAGCCAACCCCGGGCCTGGTACCAAGCAAACACGGGTGCACTGCGGTCTGCGTGCAAATCGGAGTTGATGCTAACGCTGGGTACCAATCCCTTCTGGTCCAGCATTCATAGGAGAACTTTAATACCAACGAGGAGTGGGGCCAGCCAAGCAGCATCGGCATTAAAAGAAAAAGAAATCCAATAAGAAACCAATTTTCCTTCAACAGCTGTTCGCCGGTGTTTAATTTCTACCCTGGAAGTCCACTTTTCAGAGATTATCTAATAATTGCGGCTGAGTGTGGGCTGGGTAATAATACATCAATCATATTTCCCCTTCTCCTCCAATCTTGCAGCCAGGAGTCGTGGTGATCACTAAGATATTTCACAGCACTTTTGAGAGCGCCTAGACTTTTAGGGGGTTCCTGGGTAGTGTCGGAAGGTATTCTTCCCCAAATGACACCGAGCGGGCCCCTCGGCTTCCAGCCAATCCACTCATCTCAGCGCCACCCGGGGAAATCTTGGAGCTGTTCTCCGAATTCCTCATTCATTTCCAGGATGGCCGTCTCTGACGTTAGTGGCATTAGCATTAAATCACAGCCTGGATGCTAAATCACACCCTGAGAGGGAACAAAAACCCTCGTGGCCGGGATGGAAGAGCTTCATGGGCTCCCATGCAGCACGCACAGCGGCGCCCAGAGCAGCTGCCAGGATGGTAGGTAGTTAATAAAGAAAACAGGTGATGCCGGCCTCAGTGAGAGACATTTGGAGCCAGCCGGGTGCGTGCATAGAGGAGGGGGTATACAGACATTCGAAAGCTACTGACACATACTCACAACCAAATCCATTTCCTCCTGCACCCCAACTCTGTCTCTAGTTCATTGAATGGCATCTTGTGGCTGGGACAGGTGCACACATGGTCCTGACATAAAATCAAGGGCTGTGATCAGCGTCCTATCCCTCCTCTTAATATAAAAGCAAAGTCACCCCCAAGAGCAGAGATTTAAGGGGAGAAATTAAAACAAGGGAAAAGAGAAGCCTTCCCAGCTGATGGTGACACTTGAGGCTCACCACCGAGCGGGGCGGGGGGGCTCTGGAAGATGCTAGAAAGTAAATGTGGTGAAGATAATAGAATGATATTTTTGAACATGGGATGAGAGAGAACTAACTCACACCTTCTCTATCATATGAATTGCCTGAGCATGGCCACGGGTCCACTGTCCACATACACACATGAGTGCACATCTGTGGGAGTGAGGGTGATGTTCTTGTGGGAACAAGGGAGGACTTCATCTTTAAGACTTTCTGTCCTGGTAGTTGTTCCTTCTCAAAAGCCCCAGTGACCCTCATCTTCTGGTTGTCAGAGGTGGCATCTGCCATGGGACACAGAGTGCGTGACTGCAAGGCACCTTGTGGTTGCAGGACTCAGTTCATATCCTGTGAGTCTTGGACACTCCAGAGTTATTCCTGGGTTGTAAATCCAGGGTTTTAACATATATAAAGCTGAAACCAGAATGTGGTTTCAGAAAATCGCACTGACACAACTGTTTGGAAACAGCCTCATTTCCTGAGGCGTCCTCTGAGGTGGCTTCCCTGAGCCTGCGGGCAGGGTGTGCAGCCCCCTCAGAGGACGTGCTGGCCTAGTAGCTGGGAGGAAGCAGTGGCCTAAGAGCACACCCAGCTGTTTTCTAAACTCAGTTACCACCTGCGGGGTAGGGTGCAGGCCCCCAAAGGGATGTGTCCACGTCCCAACCCCCAGAACTTATAAATGTGCAAAGAAGGACCTTATTTAGAAAAAAGCTCTCTGCAGGTGTAATTAAGGTAAGGACCTTGAGATGTGGTCATCCTGGACTATCTGATCAGGACCTAAATCAGTGATGAGTGTCTTTGAAAAGAAAGGGGGAGGAAGATTTGGGACAGAGAAGAGAAGGCCACACAGAGACAGAGGCAGAGCAGCAGTGAGGTTGCCACAAGCCAAGGAACACTTGGAGCCACCAGAAGCAGGAGAGGCAAAGAAAAACGCTCCCCTAGAGCCCCCAGGAGAAGCAGGGTCCTGCCGAAACCTTGATCTCAGACTTCTGGCCTTCAGAACTCTAAGACTATGAATTTATGTTGTCATCAGCCACCCGGGTTGTGGTAATGTTGCAGAAGCATAGCAAACTAATAGCCTACCTAGAAACGAAGAAAGCTCACTTTATCCTAGGCAATAGCTTTTATCCAGAAATATTCTACCTCAATAGTTATAACTAAGATTTCACCTGGAAAAAACAAAAAACAAACAAACAAAACATAATGTAGATTTACGTGTGCTACCTTCCCATGAAACAAACGACTCTCAGATAGACACGTTGACATCTGTTTTGAATTTGAAACTAGAAAGCCCAGGTCATACCAGGAACACACTGCCACTTACTGCTATGGTCTGAATTTTTGTGCAGTCCCCAAATTCATATGTTGAAATAGTCACTCCCAGTGTGACGGTATTAGAAAGTGATTAGATCATGGAGGTGGACCCATTGTGAATGGAATTCATGCCTTTATGTAGGAAGTCCCAGAACCCTCATCTGTATCCCTTCCTTCCACAATGTGAGACGACGGCCATATATGAACCAGGAAGCAGCCCTCACCAAAAGCTGAAGCTGCTGGTGCCTTGATCTGGGACCTCCCAGCTTCCAGAACCGGCAGAAAGACATGTTTGTTGGTTATAAGGTGATAAGTCACCCAGTTTGTGAGAGTTTGTTATCACATCCTGATCAACACTAAGACACTCACTAATGTACACCTAATTTAGGTTTCCAAGTGGAAATCTTAATTTCCCATTTTAAAATATCTGTGTTCCTATTATTTTTCAGTTTTCTCTAAATACACAAAATGGCCAGTGCTGTGTATTTGCAGCGATACAAGTATTCAGATGCTAAGCCCAAACAAAAACTCAGGGTCAAAAGTGAATTTTTGCTGGCTCCTCAAAAGTGAAATGGCCAAGAGGACGGAGAAATGACCAGTTTTTGAAGCTTGCAGACATTGAGAAATCAAACAAAAACGATAGGATTTTTGTATACTCCCTCATGATATTGAGTGAGCGTTCAGTGGGAAGCGAAGGGGTACCACGTGTTTTGCCTGTGTGTCTTGTGTAGCGTGGGTCCTGGAACCAGTAATAGGAATGTTCCACAGAGGCAGAGGAATTGAGTGGTCCAAGTGCCAGATCTGGAGCTCTCGATCTGTAGTTGCAGGACCAACAGGCTGTTTAACTTCTCTCTGCCCTGATAGCCTCATATTTAAAATGGGGTGAATGAGAGCAACTAATTTAGAACGTAATTGAGAAGATTAAATGAGACTTTATATGCCAATTCCTTAAGACAGTGTCCCAAACAAAGTAGTGCTCAGTAAAAGTTAGCTGTTACTCTGAACCCTCCATAGATGCAGGATCTGATGACACTTTTACAACGTTGGTCCGAACGCCTCGGAAATTCTTGAGGAGAGTAAGATTCACACACTCCGCCAGGGCACAGAGAACCTAAGTAGGATTGCTAAATTTCACTCAACGATCTTTGGGCAGCGCTCTGATTTCCAATGTTTTGTTAGTCTGCGCTTGTGTTTGTTTCATATTTGTGATATTTTACATTTTGTGAATTTCTCTTTGAATTTCATTCAAATATTTGTTACTGTTTCTTAATTGAAGTGAAATGTTTATAACATGAAGTTAACCATTTCAAAGTGGACCATTCAGTGACACTTAGTACATTCACAGTGTACTGCAACTACCTCCTCTATCTAGTTCCAAAACAGTTTTCATCACCCTAAAAGGAGTTCTCATACCCATTTATCAGTTAATTGCCAATCACCCTGTCCACAAATCCCTCGAAAACATTAATCTGTCTTCTGTCTCTGTGTCTCTACTATTCTATTCTGAATATTTCATATACGTGAAATCATACAATTGATGACATTCTATGTCTGGTTTTTTCCAATTAGAATAAGATTTTTGAGGTTCATCCAAGTTTTAACCTGTTTGAGTATATCACTCCAAAATTCTTTTTAGGGCTGAATAACTTTCCATTGTATGGATATATGACAATTTCTTTATCCATCATCTCTTGATCAACATTTAGGCTGTTTTTACCTTTATGCCATTGTGAATGGTGCTGCTATGAATATGCATGTACATGAAGATATTTGAGTCCCTATTTTCAATTCTTCACCGTATATATCTAGGAGTAGAATTACTGGTTTGTATGGTAATTCTACGTCTAACTTGTTGAGAATGCCAAACTTATAATTCTGTTCACTTGTTGCAGATTTTCACAGTGGCTGTACCATTTTACATTTCCACCAGCAATGTATA